ATTTTCCTGGACGCAGGGCACTTTTGTTTCCAGGCGGGCCGTACGAAAAACCGCACATAATAATCATGGGACTGGCGCCGGATAGTTACCCGCACAGAAAAATCAATTTTCCTGTGTGGGCTGTTGGTATTTAATACAGTCAAAGATAAAATCCACAAGCGCACGGATATACCGATGTAGCACTTTCCCTACGGAGTATTCCAAGGATATCGAATCCAAGGGAACATGTGTGGTCAAATCTTCCACCAGTTCATCCAAGGACACCAAGCAAAAGATAGGCCAGGATAGAGAGGATTTAATAGTGAGAAACAGTGTCTAGGGAAAGCTTAACTTTAATCCTAATGCAATACTTCAGGCACTGGCAACCTGCTATTTCTAGATGTCGCTCTACTACATACCCGGACAGGGAGGACTTAAGTGATCTCGAGGGCTGTCACCACCTCTACACCTACCTCAAACGTACTGTGGGATACGCAGCAATTACTGGTAACAATTACCTAAACACTACGTCTAAGCAATTAATATCTATTTTAGTGTTTATAACTCACCAAAGCAATCACTATATTTTAGTTGATTATAGTGAACAATAATCATGTATGCTATTTAGGAACTAACCAAGAGATAATTCTCACAAGATAAATCTAAATTACTCAAGAAGAATATTATATTAAATTCAGAGTAATAAACATAATAAAAGAAATAGGAGAAGATTACCGACAACTCCGGAATTCTCCCGACTCCTTCTACTCTACTCTCTTCCTATTCTAGTATACAATATAGTACAATAGAGCCTTTTATAATTCAGCTTAAGCTTGGAAGTGTGTGTGAAGTGAGGGAGTGATGTCTTTATATAGGAGTAGGTATGACGGTTGGTGAAGGGGAAATGTCCGAAGTGCCCTCCAACCGCCATGGTTTGGAGCGTCCACGCCAAACCCCAGCCTGAACGGCTGAGATTTTGGTTCGGCCGAACCTGGGCTGGGCCCATCTGGCCTGGTCTTCGGCCCATCTCCTCCCCTGATCCTCCTTTATCCATTTCTTGGTATTTTGGGCTGATTTACTGACGTTTTGATGAAGTTCACAACCCATCCTTGTATGGATACAGAATTCTCCTCACTTTAGTCTAGATTTCCTCCCAACATCGGGGTTTATCACCTGCATATAAATATACACCAACACTGTGGAATATGTTAGATTTAAGCACCTATCACTATGTTGGATATTTTATTATCCGAACTTTATGCAGATGTTGGCGGTATAGAATCGACATTTAACAGCCGCCAACACGGGCCACTTAACACGTCCACAAGCAAAAATAGCCTTATTTTTGCATGCAGACGTGTTAATTGGTCCGTACATGAAAATACCCATCCACCATTTAATCCGCGCGCCCACTACTCCCTCTCCCATCCCCCTCCTCGATTGCTCCCGTTCCCCTCTCTCTCTCTCTCTCATTTCTCTCTTCCTCTCCCCCTCTTTTTCTTTCACCGCGAGCGGGGGCGGTGGGCCGATGACGAGGAGGCGCCGGGTCGATCTGGCCACCGCCGCCCTCCCCCGCTCTGATCTGGCGGCCGCCGCCCGCCCCGGCCTTCCTCCTCTACGGCGATAGCGGCGACGACGATGAGGTGGCACGCGACGGCTGCAGCAGATCCATCGGCAGCCACCCCACGCGCGGATCCGGCGGCGCGGCGGTGGTGGCGGCCGCCCCCTGCGTGGATCCGGTGGCGGCGGCCACCCCCCGCGCGGATCCGGTGGCGTGACGTAGGGTGTAGTAGTGATAAGTGTCTACATTTTGAGAGATCGAAAAAGGTTCAGCTAGATTTGATTGGGAGGGTCGGCTCCGGCATCATACGTGTACGAGACTCTTCGTGAGGTTGAAGACGGTAGTCGGCTAGGAGAGCTAGCTAGGCCATCGAGGTATCGAACTGGACTAACACTGAAAAGGAAGGAACGAAAGACTTTTCAGCCAAAAATCAAGGAAAGATATTTATTAACTTTTTCAATTATAATTTATATAGCGGTCCTAATGGTTGCTTGCCTTCTAACTATTATATCTCTGAAAAAACATCTTTACCTATTGCAACACACAAACATTTGTGCTAAAACATGTGATCGAGAAATTCTTCATTTGTGTCCGAATCTTAAGCGCAAAAGGATTGCACCTTAATATATAATATATTAGATTCGTGTCTGATTCGTTTTCAGTCATATCTCTATACCAATTAAATGATAAAATTACACTAGCGGTCCTTAAACTTGTAACGAAGTTTCACTTAGGTCCACGAACTTGCAAAACGCACACCGAGCTCCCTAAACATGCTTTAATGTATTATCCTGGTCCAAAGCCTCTTTTGACCGTGTTCTTGCCTATGTGGCATGCCACATGGATGATGACATGGCAAAACTTTCTTTTTCCCTTTTTTTTTCTCCCCATATTTTCTCATCTTCCTCATCTCGCGTGGTGGACGAGGTTTCCTGCAACGGTCAGTGTGCGTGCTCGGGCACCTGCCGGCGGGAGGAGAGGAACGGAGCGCGTGCGCGGGCAACGACCAGCGAGAAAGGAGCAGCGCGTCGGCGCCGGCTGGCGGGAGGAGAGGATCCGTGGGTGAAGGCCGAGGGGGAGGAGAGGGAGAAGCGGCTGCCGGCGGCCATGTGAGGGCCACCACCGGAGTGGTTCAGGGGTGAAGAGGGCGGCGGCACAGTTCGTTGGGTCGAGGCACGCGTAGGGGGAGGTGTCGCCAGCCGCGCCTGAGGGGAGGGGTGGCCGACTGCGGCCGCGCGTCCGGGGCAGGGGGGAGGTGTCAGTGAGCTCGGCGCGAGCGGGCTGGGCGCTAGCTTGACGGTGGCAGTGGGTAGCCGACCGCCGCCGCGCGTGCGGGGTAGGCGTCTGCGAGCTCAGCGTCAGCGGGGTGGGTGCGAGCTCGACAGCAGCAGCAGGGTGGCAGGGCGAGCTCAAGGTCAGCGGCGCGAGCTCGACGGCGACAGTGGCAGAACCCGACGATGAGCTTCGTGAGAGAGGAGGCGAGCTCGTCGAACTTGAGCAGCTGCCGCATCTGCTTGCCGCGCGTGCCCGCGGCCGGCCGGAGCAGGGGCCTTCCCCTTCCCCTCCTCCTCCTTCCTATCGACGACGTCGTTGCTGCCGCCGGCCTCTCTGCCCCCTTGCCAGCCTCGCGCGGGCTGACAGAGTGACAGGTGGGCCCCACCTGTCAGCGGTAGAAGGGAGAGAAAGGAGGTGAAGTGGAGAAAAAAAGAAGGAAGAAGGGAGAAGAAATAAAAAAAATTCCATGCCATCGAGGCTATGGACCTGGATGATACATTAAACTAAGTTTAGAGATCTCGATGTGTGTTTTACAAGTTCGTGGACCTAAGTGAAAGCTTATTATAAGTTTGAGGTAAGCTAGTGTAATTTACTCCAATTAAATCATACTACCTCCGTATTTTAATGTATGACGCCGTTAACTTTTTATACAACGTTTGACCATTCGTCTTATTCAAAAAACTTATGTAATTATCATTTATTTTAGGAAAAAGTACGAGTTACCCCCCCGAACTATCGCGGTCGTCCGAATTACCCACCCCCCCGGGAACCACAAAACCGGGCATTCTTCACCCCGAACTATGAATACCGGACGAATTACCCCCCTCAACCCAATCTGCGGTGGTTTTGGTTTACGTGGCGTACACGTGGCAGTCTAGTCAGCATTCTATTTATAAAAAATTGTGGGACCCACATGTCATACACTACTCTCTGTTCTCTCTCTCACTTCTCTCTGTCAATCTTCCTCTCTCTCTCACCGTCTCACGGGTCAGCGGCGGTGGAGGACACGGAGCGGCGGCGCGTGACGTGGTGGCGGCGACCGGGGGGGGGGAGGGGTGGGGATGAGGAGCTCGGCGCGGCTTCCCCCTCCCTCTCGGAGGCGTGTGGGCGGACGGAGCTCGGCACGGCTTCCCCCTTCCATCTCGGACGGAGCTCAGAGCAGGATACGATCCGACCGCCTCGCCATCGTTGCCTTCTCTGGCGCGCCGCTCGGAGCAGCAGCTAGTGGTGCCGGCCCTCCACGGCGGGAGCTCGTCACAGTGGCTGCACGTCCTGTTCATGGCAACACGAGCGGTGCCCGAGTCGCGGCAGTTGGCGGAGCTGAACGACTACGCAACGGCGCGGGCACACAGAGCTACGCGACTACTGATGACGACGCACTCGAGCCGGTCAACCCCGCCACCCGCAGCCTCGCCTCGTACTCAGGCCATGCCATTGCCACCTCCTCCTCGGGCCTTCCCCGTGCGACGGATGAGGAGGATGACGGGTTCCACACCTGGAGGTCCCGCTGCATCGTCGGCTGCGATGGCGAGTACCACCGCCGGCATTCGGTCCGCGGCATCTCAACCCCGCCGCGCCGCGCGCCGTCATCCGTCGCCCCCTCCCCCCAACCGCCTTGCCTCCTCCGCCGCCGCCGCCTTGCCTCACCTCGAGCAGCGCGAGCTCCCGCCGTCGCTCGCCTCCTCCGCTGCCGCCGCACCCCGGCGCCACTCGCCTCCTCCTCCGCCGCCGCCGCCTTGCCTCGCCTCGAGCAGCGGGAGCTCCCGCCGCCACTCGCCTCCTCCGCCGCCGCCGCAGCCCGCCGCCGCTCACCGCCTCATCCCCCGTTCGCCGCCTCCTCTGCTGCCGTGCGCGTGTGAGACAGAGAGTGAGAGAAGAGAGAGAGGAATAGGAGTATGACAGGTGGGCCCTACATATTTTTAATAAATAAAATGCTGACTGGACCGCAACGCGTACGTCACGTAGACAAAAACCACCGTGGATTAGGTCAAGGGGAGTAATTCGTCCGGTTTGCATAGTTAAGGGTGAAGAATTTTCAGTTTTGTGGTTTAGGGGTAATTCAGACGGTGCCGTAAATTAAAATACGGAGGAGGCCTGATCGAACACATGACCAACTGAAATTGACCGTTCTTCCCATTTTGACCTTTCATTTTTTTCCCCCGCCACCTCATCTTCTCGCAGCGCCGCCTCCGCCCCCACCTCCCCTCTCTCGGTTCACCATTCTCACACTCGTACTGCAGCCGAGGTGGTTGGGGACTAGAGCGATGACCGACGCGGCCGTGGACTCATGCTGGCTAGGCCTGGACTCCGCCGTTGCCATATGACTCCTGTAGTCCGTCCCCTTCGCCGAGGTCGACGCCCCCCTCGCGTGCCGCCTGCAGCTGGCGGGAAATTCCTCTTCCAGTTCCAGTGTGGCCCAGCGAGGGGACTGCTGTCGCTGATCTATCTGCTGTAGCCCTCGCCCTTCGCCGCGTAGGTGAGTTAAATGCCCGTCATTGTGCAGATTGAGGAGGCCATGATTGGTGGGGGCAAGCCAATGACGATGGTCTTGCCAGTTGACAGCAAAGGTTTATTTCTTCTTCTTCTTGCGGGGTTGGAAACGGGGTGAGAATGGGGGAGAGTGAGAGTGGAGGAAGAAGCCAGGAAGAACACAAAGAGAGGAAAGAGTGAGAGAGGATTGAAAAATTGAAGAATAAATGGTGTCCGTACTTTTGTGGAAGTTTGAAGATGAAAATTGAGTTTTTTTTTTCCTTATCCTATATATACTCCATAGTACAGCAAATAGTTCAAAGAAACTGTGAAGCTAAAGAAGAAAGCGTCCAATTGAATAAGTTCCCATTTTCCTCAACCATGATTGGCTTGGATAGGCAGGATTTCAAAAGAAATTGACTTCAATTTCTTTTCTGTCAGCTGAAGATAATGAATCTAACCCCACCCTATCATAATAAGCCCAAATATGTATTGCAAATTGAGGATGTATTGATATTTTCTTCTTTGCCCCCTTTAATGGAAGCATAGTTTCTTTGGTAAATTTACTTTCCCATCCTTAATAATATTTAGATATATGATTGCCTAATTCTGCAAACTGTGATATAATTGTCAACTAAAGTACAGTGCTGTGTATTTTGCCTATCATAAAGTACCTTCTTTTATTTTATTCCTGTACTGTTCTTTTGCATCTCAGACTTGCATATCATATACAATTCAATATGCTGCGTACAATTTGGTGGAACAGTGAATTCCAATGGCCAAGACCATCTCATTACCAATTTTCTTATACAGGAAAACAGTGCCGTCCTCTACGGTGACCAGAATTTCTAAGGCTGCTATATATGGATCAAAAGTCTTATCTTTGTTTTCGCGTACAATTTGGTGGAAAAGTTAATTCCAATGGCCAAGATCATCTCATTACCAACTTTCTTATACAGGAAAACAGTGACGTCCTCTCTGGTGACCAGAATTTCTAAGGCTGCTATGTATGGGATCAAAAGTCTTATCTTTATTTTCTTCTGTTGACATTAGGAACAGCCTCCCCTGCAAGAATGAGAGAGTACAGTGACGAAGTCCAGATTATCCGGCTCTAAGAGTTGTCACTTGTCATGCTACTTAACAAGACGGCATGGATCGCTAGCTCAAGTTGCCATTGTATAAAATCCCTGAGCTGTGGTAGTATATAGTTAAGTATGCGATTCTTATAGGTTTCTTTCATCACGACTGGACCAGGTATGTATTTTCTATATACTCAAACATTTGTGATGATCCAGCTTTCCTTTTGTCAATTCTTGTTCTGGATATCCACATGTCTGCAACCTGCGATCTTCTTATGTGTGCAGACCCGAATCAAGATGTGGGCAACCTTGCTGTGTAAGCATCTCCAAATCAAGATAAGGATTGGCATCGTCCATCAGTTAGTACTCTTACTCATGTCATCCTCTCTGTTCCTGGTAGTTTCTGCTCAGTCAGTTCCAGCCGATAATATGGATCAAGAGGCCCTCCTTGGTCTCAAATCTCTGGTCACCAGTGATCCATCAGGCATGCTATTATCTTGGGGTAATGGCTCCGCTTGCACATGGAGTGGGGTCCGATGCAATCGTCATGGTAGAGTCTTGGTGTTAGATCTCCAGGGCCTCAATTTGGTTGGCAAGATTAGCCCTAGCATTGGCAATCTATCAGCCCTTCATGGTTTATATTTACAAAAGAACCAGTTTTCTGGTGAAATACCTGACCAAATTGGTTGGCTAGGACAGCTTCAAACACTAAATGCTAGTGCTAACATTCTCACGGGCAATATCCCTGCAGCTCTAATAAACTGCACAAATCTTGAGATCATTGATTTGTCACAGAATACCTTCTTTGGTACTATACCTGCAAGCATTAGCTCGTTTCAGAAACTCCGAGTCCTGAAGATTGGAGGGAACCAACTAAGTGGTAGTGTTCCGCGATATATTGGTAACCTCTCGTTGTTGAGCACACTTGATCTTAGCACCAACAACCTGACCGGCACAATTCCTTACGAGTTTGGTCATCTAAGACAGCTCAAGTACCTCCAGCTCTCGATAAATAACCTGAAAGGCACAGTTCCTGAGCCACTTTACAATCTCTCTTCCCTTTCTTTCTTTGCAATTGCAAATAATGACCTACATGGGAAGATACCAAGTGATGTTGGGTTTCGACTCCCACGGCTCCTTGTTTTCCATATTTGCATCAATAGGTTCACTGGTCCAATCCCACCATCTCTCCATAACGTGACAAACATCCAAAGTATAAGGATGTCCCACAATCACTTTAGCGGCTCTGTGCCGCCGGGACTTAGCGGTCTTCACAATCTTGTCTTGTATAATATTGGATTCAATCAAATTGTTGGTAACACAAGTGTCCTTGTTGACCTTATGAACTGCACTAAGCTACAGCTGATTGCCTTTGATGAGAATCTCATTGAGGGTATACTCCCTGATTCCATTGGCAACTTGTCAAGTTCTCTCACAAGGCTATATGTTGGTGGCAACAGAATAACTGGGTACATACCAGCTTCCATTGGGCGTTTATCTTCCCTGACTTTGCTCAATATGAGCTACAACCTACTTTTTGGAAGTATCCCACCAGAAATCGGACTATTGAAAGAGCTGACCATGCTAAGCCTTGCTAGGAACAAACTGTCAGGCATAATTCCAGCAGAAATTGGGGATCTTGCACAACTAACGAGGCTCGAGATGAACCATAATGAGTTAGTTGGTGAAATCCCAGTAGAGATTGGTAACCTCCAACATGTGCTTTCACTGGACATATCAAGCAACAGTCTGAAGGGGGGCATCCCTGCTTCCATCTTTTCACTCAACAGCCTTAGCACTCTCCTTAATCTATCACATAATTTACTAACTGGTTCAATAAGAGAGAATATTGGTCAACTAGGGCAAATAACCGCCATTGACTTGTCCTATAATTTCCTCAACGGTAGTATCCCAGTGTCAATCGGGAAATGCCAGAGTCTTCAGAGTCTATCATTGAGCAGAAATTCTTTGTCAGGTGTGATCCCTGGTACTATTGGGAATCTGAAAGGTTTGCAAACCTTGGACCTGTCTAGCAACCAGTTATCGGGTATTATACCTGCAACGTTGGTGAAGATGCAAGCCCTTAGGCTACTGAACCTCTCAATGAATGACCTTGATGGATTGGTGCCAAACAACGGCATCTTTAAGGACCACTCTGTTGTTTACCTTGACGGCAACCCAAAATTATGCTACTCAAACATGCTATGCTACTACATCCATTCCTCACATCGTCGAAAGATGGCCGTTGCTATTGCAGTTGGCACAGCAGCAATGGCTGCTATTACCATCGTTGTCATCATAAGCATGCTGCTGTTGCCAAGGAAATGGTTAAGAAATAGGAAGCCTAAAAAACTAGGCAGCTTCATCAAGAAAAGTCACCCACTTGTTTCATATGAAGAGCTAAACCAGGTGACCAGCTCCTTTGACAATAGAAACCTCATCGGCACAGGTGGCTTTGGTTCAGTGTACAAGGCAGTGTTGCGCAGCAGAACAGCTGTGGCCATCAAGGTGTTGGATCTGCATAAGATGGGAGCACTGAAGAGCTGGACCGCAGAGTGTGAGGCCCTTAGAAATGTTCGGCACCGCTACTTAGTAAAGCTAGTCACCATGTGTGCGAGTATCGATTTTTCAGGCAATGAGTTCAGGGCATTGGTTTATGAGCTAATGAGCTGCGGAAGTGTTGAGGATTTGATCCACAAAGGCAGGCAGGGTGAGAATGTTGCAGGGGTGAACGCCGATATGATACTTAGCATCGCCATTGATGTTGCGAGTGCACTAGATTACCTACACAATGATTGTGGAGAACAAGTGGTGCACTGTGATATCAAACCGAGCAATGTGCTTCTCGATGAAGACATGACAGCTAAGGTTGGAGACTTTGGGTTGGCTCGGTTGTTGTCTCCAACATCAGCTGGACAAGATGTATCCAGTACTCATGGCCTTAAGGGCTCCATTGGATATATTCCACCAGGTGCTCCTTCTAGCTTGCCATAATTTGTGTTCATTCATATCATTGTGTTTATTCTAAGAAAAAAAAAGAATGAATTGCGATATGTTTACACTAAAACTATATTGTGCAGAATATGGGTATGGGAGTAAACCATCAGCAAAAGGCGATGTCTACAGCTACGGAATGTTGCTCCTCGAGATGATCACTGGAAAGAGGCCTGTTGATCCGCAGTTTGGAGGGGACATGAATCTTGAGAAATGGGTGCGAGATGGATTCCCGCATCGAGCTCATGAAGTAGTTGACGAGCGCCTTAGGGGAACAATCGTTGATATCTGCCATGAAGGGCAGCAGCAGGCTAGTGCTGAGCAGAAGCGGCAGCAGCTGATGCTTAACAACATAATACTTCCTGTCATGGAGGTTGCGTTGTCTTGTGCTCTGGAGTCTCCTGATGAACGAAGCACCATGCGCGATGCTCTCTGTAGATTGAAACGAATCAAGGAGGCTTTCTTGAAGAATCATAGCTTTTAATATGATAACCGAAGAGGTTACAAGCTGCCCATTTCTAAAGTACCTTTTTGTATTTGTATGTTTAGATATTTTCCCTGAAAAATGAGGTCGGATCAGACACCAGATTAATTAAACTTATTTATTTTTTGTCATGTAGCTATTATTAATGAAACATATGTGTATTTCTAATGTGTCGCACTTGGACATCTGAAGTACATGGCAGTGACAATGGATCAAGCAGGAGTATGCATGTGTTGAAGTGAAGGAATGCTTCTTGATCTAAAGTTCTCACCAGTTATATATGCAAAGATATAAGTGTTATGCATGTGCCCTTACTGGCAGGGCAAATTATTATTTTTGAATGAAACTGTATAATTAAAAGAAATCAGTTTTGTTGTTATAAATATGTAGAGAGTCCCAACTTAAGTATTTGCTAGCCAATTTTGTAACTGATAGGCTTGATAGCTGTGGTGACTTTTGCTGAGCTCTCTGTCTGGATAGGAAAGGGAAGCATTGGGAATATTTGAGCTGCATTTCTTTAACCGGAGACTGCACGTATTTCTGCAGGAAGTAGCCCATCACACGTTCTCAGTGCTTTTCTGGATTTCATCAGAGATATGGTACGTACATCGGTGTATTGCAGACCGCATGCGAGCAATCCTAGTCATTAGAAGGAATTAGTTAAATATTGCAAGTAAAAGAATTTAAATATATTAATTGTGTGGAGCATTACCGGTCAGTATATATGCACTAGCAGCTTCTCCCTTATTTGCAGTTGTTCTTTACCATTTATCTTGTAGGAGTTGTACGCGCTGTAAGGATATTAGCAATTCATATTAAGTCGAGATTTAATTATAATTCATCAAAAGTACACATGCATGGATCAAAATCACTTACTATTGTTAGAAATTATATGTACATCCCGTGATTATAATCAAGGGTAGATAAGAAACAAATCTAATGATCAATACATAGTAACGATGATGCAGTTAGTCACGGATGAAGTAACACAGATATGTAATCTATGGGACTTACTTAAAATTGTATGCGGCCATTATGACTTTTTTGTTGAAATTTCAAGAAAGCTCGTCCAATGTACTGCACCACAGTAAGCAACTTAGTTTTGTGCAAGCCCTTGATGTATTCTGCTATCTCTTCAGGCGTCTTAGCAATATCAATAAATTTAAATACTTCATCCGTGTATGACGGCAAAAGCCTCGGCGTATGATACATCCATTGGCGCATGTCCTTATCTCTAGAAAAATTTCATTTATAACTATATTTAAAAAAATTCTTAACAACAAATATTTGTAAACAAACTTAAGTTCGCCTTAAAGGATAGAGAAATATTAATAACTAAAGGATGGGAATCTATGAATTTCTCGTAAATACAATACACTTTTTTTTTACATAGACCTAGGGGATGAAAAAAAATTTCCTCTCTCCTATCTAGATCTAGGAAATGAGGAAATGGATGAGAACAAAATACATCATTTTGGGTAATTAAATTGTCGCATTCAACCACTAGAGGATGACTGCGACCACATGCCATCATATAGTATACATAGATCCAACATAATTTTTTTTACATAGACCTAGGGGATGGAAAGTAAACATAATACACTTATTTTTTTACATAGACCTAGGGGATGGAAAATTTTCTCTCTCCTATCTGATATAGGAAATGGATGGGAGCAAAATACATCATTTTGGGAAAATTCAACCACTAGAGGATGAGAGGATCATAGCATCAAGGAGTATACATGAACCCAACACAATCATATCAAAGGAAAGTATAGGAAAAAAAGAAAAGAAAAAACATGGTGCTTTTTTTTCACTATTTTGCATGCACGGATCCATCACAAAGGGATGTTTAAAGGGATGTTTAAAGTTATAAAAAAATGAGTAGTAAGAGTGGAAAGGCATATATCTAACCACCGTAGAAAAATCATTCGAAAATTTGGAGTTCAAAACCTTCCCCCCTATATTTTGTTTGTTTTCGGAGAGAAAAACTTCGGAAGAATGAACAAGTGCTCAAGGAGAAAAAAAGGCTATATAGCCTCATTTTTGCAGGCGGACCACATAAGGTGGTGCCTACAAAGATAAATTTTCGCAGGTGGACCACATAAGGCGTCCGCCTAAAATTATCGCAGGCGGCGCCTTATGTTGTCCGCCTAAAAAATCTATCTTCGCATGCGAACGACGATGTCGCCCCTGGTTACTATTTTCGTAGACAGCCATTTCGCTCCGAGAGACCTACCCGCCTAGAAAAAAAATGCCATCGTCTGAAAAAAAATGGTTTTTCTAGTAGTGCTTGTTCTCCCTTGCTCTCCCCCATCATCGATCTCCTATAGTCTCTACTTCGCCGCCACCGCGCTGGCCACCCACTGCAGGGCGCCACTTTCGCCTTCGCACTGATGAACTTCGAGCAGATGCTGATCCATATCTATTATATACTAAAAGTCCATTAAACTCTCTACAAACGCTCTAAAACCGTCACGTGGCACTCCTACAAACGTTCTCAAGCCGCCACATGGCACAGTAATCTCACCGTCGATTTTCACTTAAATTGGTGGACCCGTTATTTTACACAATTAGATTAGATTTATTATTAAATATAATAGCTTCCTCCTCTATGGAGGATACAAACGGTGTAGGATCGTAAAGGGTAAAGGGTCTTTCCCACCCCAAAAGCTAGCCATTGAGGTGAGGGGCTCCTCCACTTATATCTTAGGTCCTTTGCCCTTCCTAGGGGTGGACAGGAAGCTCATGGCTCGTTAGCTCGCTCGGCTCGTGACAGGCTCGGCTCGGCTCGGCTCGGCTCGGCTCGTTTGAATTTCCTAACGAGCCGAGCTGGCATTTCAGCTCTTAGAGATAACGAGCCAGCTCGAGCTGGCTCGCGAGCCGCTCGCGAGCCTTAACGAGCCAGAGCAGATGAGGCCCAGGCGCCTAGCCCAGCCCAACAGCCCATCACCCAGCCCATCACCTTGTGAAAACCCTAGAGTCAATCCCCTTCTGGCTTGTCCCCATCCTCAATCCCCACCCAAGCCGCCGCCGGCCTCATGGCTGCCGCTCGCCCGCGCCTATCCTCCCCGGCGCCGACGCCGCCGCCCCCGCCTCTCCTCCCCGACGCCGACGCCGTCGGCCGTGGACGCCTTCGCCCGCGCCGCTCCTTCCCGCCACCGCCGCCACCGCCCGCGCCTCTCCTCCCCGGCGCCGACGCGGCCGGCCGTGGACGCCGCCGCCCGCGCCGCTCCTCCCCAGCACCGACGCTGCCGTGGACGCCGCCGCTCGCGCCGCTCCTCCCCGGCGCTGACGCAACCAACCGTGGACGCCGCCGCCCGCGGCAGTCCTCCCCGGCGCCGACACCGTCATGGACGCTGCTGGCCGCGCCGCTCCTCCCCGGCGCCCCTTCTCGGCTCCTCCCCTTGTTCGCTTTCTCTCTTGTCCCCAAAGCTCACGAGCCTAACGAGCTGGCTCGAGCTTTCAAACAAGCCGAGCCGAGCTGGGTTTCTAGCTCGTTAGGATAACGAGCCGAGCCGAGCTAGCTCGTTATCCTAACGAGCTAGACCGAGCCGAGCCGAGCCGAGCCGAGCCAGCTCGACATCCACCCCTAGCCCTTCCACAACCAATGTGGGACTATTCAACAATCTCCCCCTTCACACATTCAACAATCTCCACTATTCAACAATCTCCCCCTTCACATATTGGTGTCCCTTAGCCCTTCACCGTGTATAGACCCCACAGAGCAGGCCAACGGTCCATCAGGTATACGGGCCACGCAGGCACCCACGGTCCATTAGACCTTCACACACTGTGTCCATCGGGCTAGAGATGTTAACCTAGCCAGGCTCTGATACCAATTATAGGATTGTAAAGGGCCCACTGGTGGAGAAACCATCTTTGGTCGGTCGGCCAAAATCCACAATAGTCCCGGTTGCAATAAAAACCGGGACTAAAAATGATCTTTAGTCCCGGTTAAAAACATCACAGCTAGTTTATGAACCAACCGGGACTAAAAATCATCTTTACTCCCGGTTCATCCCATGTCAGTAGTCTGTCAGGGGGCCGAGGATCTTTAGTCCCGGTTGGTGACACCAACCAGGAGTAAAGATCATCTTTATAGTCTCGGTTGATAATACAAACCGAGACTAAAAATTATATTGATCTTTAGTCCCGGTTAGTATTACCAATCGAGACTAAAATTTAATACGTAGTATATAATGCCTATCCCTTATCCTCTCCTACACTTCATAGATCCGTTCCACTTCCTCTTCACAGATCTAACTCCTCCTCCCCTCCTCACTTCCCATCCGCCCCTTCTCCTCCTCTCCTCCCTTCCCATTCGATCCGGTGGCCGGCGGCCGGCGGGGCCACGGCGGCGACGGCCGTGACGGGCGGCGGCTGGAGGGGCCGCGCCCGGCGGCGACCATGGCGGGCGGCGGCGGTGCCACGCGGGGCGGCGGCCATGGCGGGCAGCGGCGGTGCCGTGCGTGGCGGCGGCCGGCGGGGCCACGCCCGGCAGCAGAGGCGGGCGGCCGGCGGGGGCGAAAAGGATGTTGAGTGCACTGCCACCATCGATGAGGGATCTGTGAAGCTTGACGTTGTGAACCACTAGGTCTAGTACCAGGGGGTACCGCCCCGGGTGGACCACTCGGTCAGGATGATCCGAGCGGTCAAACTTAATTGTTGTCTCTAACCACCGAAGATATTGGGGCATATCGGGCTGAACAGCGTTGATCTCCCGTTTGGTCAGCTTTTGCTTTCTCTTAGATTCATAAGCCAGGGGTCCACCAAAGATGTGGTTGAGTTCCTTGCGGTGGTCTTGAAAACCAGTCGGGGCATCACCTTCATCATCCTTCTTCTTTGACGTGCTTTGATCTCCGTCGGAGGCCTTACGTGCGTTCTTGGTGTATTGTTTTGCAAACTGTTTGTAGACGAAACAATCTTTGGCCGCGTGATTGGAATTGGGATGATGCGGATATTGGGAGTTCATGATCTTGTCAAAAGTGTTGATGCGCGAATGTTGTCGGGAGGATGGTGTAGTAGTTGCCACAAGTTCCTCGGGCTTACGCTTGCGATCCTTGTGATTGGTACTTCCAGTCTCCCCTGTAGTCGGCGTATCTTTCTTCGGCTTCCAAGTGGTGCCTGACTGCTTGGACGCGGTAATGGCATCTTCGGCTTTGGCATATTCGTTGGCTTTTTCGGACATCTGCTTGACTGTCTTGGGAGGCTTGCGCCCGAACTTGCCGACTAGGTCTTCGTGGCGAATGCCCTTGGTGAAGGCGGTGATGATGACGTCGTCGGTAATGTCAGAGATCTTGTTACGTTGCTCGGAAAAGCGTCGGATGTAATCTCGAAGGGATTCTCCAGACTTCTGAATGACGTTGTAGAGATCAAAATGTGTACCAGGGCGTTCAAAGGTACCCTGGAAGTTGGCGATGAAGTGTTCGCCAAGTTTCGCCCATGATCCGATTGTACCACGGGGTAACCCGTGAAGACAGGACTGGGCAGAATCCGCTAGGGCCATAGGCAAATAGTTTGCCATGGCTTTGCTGTCTCCTCCCGCTACGCGAATTGCGAGACCGTAGACGGTGAGCCAGGACTCCGGGTTAGTGGTGCCGTCATACTTCTCGATTCCAGTCGGCTTGAAGCCGGCTGGTCAATCCACTCAACGCAGGTCGCTTGTGAAGGCAGTGACTCCATCCACGTCGTCGTCGTAGCGATCTGGTGAATGGTGGGGAGCGTAGCCTATTGTCGCGCGGCGCTGGTTGATAGTATCGCGAAAATCGACGGGGCGCTTGCGAGGTGGGGAGCGTGGTCGTTCAACTCGACGCTCCCTGTGTAGTTCGGGAAGCGAGTGGACAGATCGCTCGTCATGACCCCTGCTCCTGCGACTGGATCTCGCGCCGGCGACGCTGAGGCTTGGTTGGTGATAGTCTTGAGATCGAAGAGGAGAAACTCGGCTGCTAGTCAGCGTGCTGACGCTTGCAGAGTTAACCGGGACCGAGGCGGCGATCATGGTCTTGGTCTGGTTCAAGATGTTGACGACGTGATTGGGTTGATTGAGTGCGTCTTCCTTGAGGAGGGTGTCGAGGAGGGTGATCGCTGCAACCGCGTTCTGTTGAGGGGTGCGAAAAACCGCAGTTTCCTCGACGTCTTGCTGCCCGATAAGTTCTCGTGCTTGTCACCCGGCTTCCAAGGCCTGTTTTCACCGATCCTCAGCCTCCTTTGCAGCCCGTTCGCATTCCTGTTGCTCACGCTGCAGCCGTTCTCGCTCTTGTGCTTGGCGCTCCTCTTCCAGTCGGCGTCGTTCGACTTCCTGTTGTACGCGTAGTTCTTCTGCTTCTCGGGCTTTACGTTGTTCTTCCGTCTCGTTGTCAACCATGAAGATGCCGAAGTAGGGAGGTGTGTAGTTGTCTTCAAAGCCTTCGTCGAAGTCGTCGAGGTTGCGGTAGTCGTAGCGGTAGCAGAAGTCATCGTACTCCACGATCTTCGTTGGTCGCGAGTCGACGCCAGGGGAGCTGAGGTAGCTGTCCAGTTGTTCCGTCGAAACCGTGCCGAGAGGCTGGAGTATGACGCCGACTTCCCTGGAGCTAGGCCGGGCCGAGGCTGAAGCCGGATCCCGCCTAGGCCTATGGGGAGAAGACGCCCTTGTGGTGAAGACAACAGCCAAATCATCGGGGAGTTTCATCAGGATTGGCGGATAGGCCCCATTGTCTTGATCGGGTTGTGTTGAAGTAGATTGAATCTCGTCCGAGTGGTTTGAAGCCAACTCGGTGGAGATGATCTTGGGGTAGACCTCGGTCGAGTTCGGGATACCGAACGGGGCGGAGATATGGCCTCTTCCCGACTAGTTTGAATCCGAGTCGAGGAGAGAAATCTTGCCGAAGTCGTTGTTGATGAAGTCGAGGCTGCCGAATCGGAACGCCTGCCTGGGAGGGAAGACGAAGTCGTCGATGCCGGAAACGAAACCCATCGCACTAGTCGGCGAAGAACTTGACGCTACCCCTACCTGGCGCGCCAACTGTCGAAACAAGATTTCGGCAATACTAAAAGGGGGTGGCTATCAAGCTGGAAAAGTGGATGGGTTTAGAGACAAGGAATTTTATACAGGTTCAGGCCTTCTTAATCAAGAAGTAATACTCTACTCCTGTCCGGGGATTGATCCGCCGAGTGTATTATTGATCGTATGATCTAGGAAGAAATCGTGCCCCTAAAGACACCCGGACCCCTCCTTATATAGGGGAAGGGGTCTGCATTACAAAAAACAATCCATATCCCTAACGGAATATGTAGCTACAGATAAAAAACAATCATAACCGACTAGGATCTTGGGTATTTCCTTGACATACAAGTTTAGAATTTAACCCGAGTCCTCTTAAAGATATCTTATATACGATTTCAGGGTTACAATCCTACCTTTTCATTGGGCCACGTGGCACCACAAGCGGAACTCAGCCTGGATTCTGGGCTCTAGAGCAGCCACGTATTTGCAGCCCACCTGTAGCCGTTTGATTGGAAATCAACGATGGTGGTGCAGCGAGCATAATTGGAAATGCGTTGCAGACTCCGTTAGGGGATCGAGGATAAGATTTTTTTATTTTTATATTTTGACAATTCCACATCGGTGATTTCTAGAAGTGCTCTTTGAGCTTTGCTGGCATGGGAAAAAACAACGTGGGCCAAAAGCCCAAAGTGAGGTAGGGATAGATGTGGCCTTTATTTACTTGATTTGAATTTTTTTTCAATATTTTCAACAAATAATTGTAATCATGACGCTATATGGGCTTTTAAAAAATTATACATACATGGCTAAAACGTAATTTGATTTATGGGTCTACTGAACGTTTTACGTGCATGTATGGTTTAACGCAGGCTTGTCAAACCAGTTGTTTATAAGCTCGTATTATCGAACATGCAATGAAAAATATTTAACCTACAATACTGTAAATCTTCACATAAATATCACACCCTCTATATTTTAAACAGACGACGCCATTGAATTTTGATTTAATATTTAACCACACATCATATTGTAAAAATAATGTGTTATTTATTGTGACTATTTTATTATCGAACACCAAAATCAGGAATTAAAATATCGTCAAATGCGACGCATATTCAGAGAAGCTAACTAGCAGGCTCGCTCCTCTTTTCAGGAGCATATTATATTTCTCAGTCAAAAGTAAAAGAACATTAACTTAAAAAAAGAATAAGGGAATTAAATATACCACAACTACTATTGGTAATACCAAAAAAATGGAAAAAAAAAGGAACTAAAACAGTGTTAAAATGCACCATATCTACATACACATACACATCCAAAATAGTAGGTGCACGGTGCGCCTATTGGCGCACTGATTTTCTAGTTCTATCTATACATGGCACCCCATACCCAGTTGGATATGGGGTATCCATAATCTCCACACTAGTTGGGATAAATAGCATAAGGGGAGAGGTAGAGAGAAGGATACTTACTGACATGTGGGTTGTACAATTATTTTTTCTGATTTTAAATGCCACATCAATATCACATCAGCCAAAACCACCATCCAAACTATCTTGGTATCTTATATGCACTGGTTTGAGAGTTGAGGGACACATCATATCTGGTATTACGGTTTAGGTATGGATTTCAGACTCGACGACAACGTGAGGAACCTGAAAGTAATAAGTTCACTTTGGTCCCTCTATTTGTCGCCCAGTCCGATTTTCGTCCCTTGACCACAAAACCGGGTACGACTCGTCCCCCAACTTACAAAAACCGGACAAACGAGGTCCCTCGGTGGTTTGGAAGGCGGTTTTGGCTGATGTGGTGCCTACGTGGCTTATTTGACGAGTTCTCCGTTCCACGTGGCATTGACGTGACAAGTATATATCGGAAAAATAATATAAAGCGTGGCCCCACATGTCAGCTGCACACAAAACATAATTTTAAAATGGTGGGGGCCACGTGAGCCCCACATGTCAGCCTCACTCCTCTCTTCTTTCCTCTCCCTTCTCTCTCTTCTTCCCTTTCCCCTCTCTCTCTCCTTCCCGGGCAGCGGACGGCGCGGATGGGCGGCGGAGCAGGCGAGCAAATAGAGGGACCCACTTTGCCCGTCGGCGGGGGCGAACGGCTCCCGCGGGGGATAACGGCGACGCGGTGCGCGTCTCCCTGCGCCTCCATGGCGCCCACTGTCTCCGCAGCTGCCATCGGCGCTGGGTGGCACCCCCTGCACAAGCGATGCGGCGTCTGTTGAGTCCTCAATGCCCGCCAGCTCGTGCGGCTCACCGCTGCCGCGCGAGTGCCCTGCTACTCCCAGATCGGCGAGGCCGAGACGGAGCACGCGGCTGCAATAGGCGTGGCGGTCGAGGTTGCGGCAGGTGTTGTTGTCGGCCGTCGCGCTCGAGAGAGGAGAAGGGGGGAGTGAGATTGACATGTGGCCCCACCTTTTATTAATTATTGTTTTTAATGTAACTGACATGTGGGTCCCACGGGGCTTATTTTTTTCCAACTCGAATTGCCACGTGAGCACCACGTCAGTGCCACGTGGGACGGAGACCTAGTCAAACCAGCTACGTAGGCGCCACGTCAGCCAAAACCGCTATCCAAACCACCTTAGGACCTTATGTGCCCGGTTTTCATAAGTTGGGGGACGGGTTGTACCCGGTTTTGGGGTTAAGGGACGAAAATTGGACTGGGCGACAAATAGAGGGACCTAAAGTGAACTTATTCCAACCTAAAATGAACCTATTCCGAGAAAGAATAGCCTTTCCGGCCTGCAAATGGCCCATCGAACAGCTTCAGCCACTAGGACAACCCGCCTTCCTCCGGCGAAAATCCTCCATGGGTTTAGGGTTCCGGCCGCCGTAGAAGCAAGGGGGAGAGGGGGAGGGGGGGGGGGGGGTGGGGAAGATGAGCGGGAGCGCGTTCAAGGCGTTCAAGTCGCGGGTGGAGGTGGCGTGGAGCCCCAAGCTGGTGCGGGGCCTCCCAGGTACGCGCCGCCTCCACCGCCACACGCTTGAGGCCATGAGCCTCCGCCGCTGCCACCGCACCGTCGAGCACCGCACCACGCCCTCCCTGCTCGGCATGCTCACCCAGGTCAAGTGCCTCGTCGTCGTCGAGACCCAGGAGATGTACGCCGCGCGGAGGCAGGCCGAGGAGGACCGACGCGCCCCCAGGCCCCCGCTCATCGTCTCCCACACCCGCCGCCGCCGCGGGGAGCGCCCGCCGCAGAGGCGCACTAGACTCAAGAAGTAACTTCCTGGAGCCTCTAGTTTTTCTTTCCCCCACATAGTGATTCGATCTGCGTGATTGATTGGTTCTCCTTGCACGTTAGCTGTTTGACGTAATGCCCCATAAGAAAGAGTGTTCCTTTTGCTTCTGTGCCTGGAAATGTTCATCTGATTGTGGATGTAACGTACATATTCCTCACATTGTTATTTGTTGTGCTTGCTTTCGTTCTTTACACGTTAGTTGTGTGAACAAAATAAATTGTGCACTTTTCCGTTGCATCTGTTTGAGCTGGAAATGTTGACCTGCTTGTGGATGTAATCCACATGTTCCTCTCTTCTAATGTGGCAAGAAATGTAACCTGCATGTGATTGTTCTAGTTCATGGAATGCCAATCGCCAAAACCTTCTTTTACATTGTGGAAACTTTTTAATAAAATCTCTTGATCTTTAAAATGAAACGGAATGAGTAAAGTAGATGCATTGGCTTAACAAAGCTAAATTTCATCTGCTCTGTAAAACAGTAGCTATAATTAGATTCTTTTTTTTTGTTCATAACACATTGTAAAGAAGATATCTTGAAATGTCTAGCTCACTGAACAATTCATAATTAACTAACATTTGTTTTTAACTTGTGTCAGTGCTAGCGACAAGGATTGCTCAACTCGGTAAGGGTTCATTTAGAAACAAGCTTGCGCTGACCCTAGTTCGTTCCTTATATGATGTGGTATTATGGTGGGTAAGATACGCATTGCTGCCAACTTAACACAGGCATTGCCAACTTAAAAAAAAAAAAGCTGTCATAAAGAGTGTTCCCTTTGAAAATCAGGAATGATAGGATGCACCTCAGTCCGAATATGCTACTTACATAGATGTACTTGTGAGATTGTTAGAATTATCCTACTCAAAACTTCCATATTTTTTTTAAAAAATGCGATCATGTAGAGTTTCCACAAAATCTTCCCACGTCTTATTCATCCCTGTCTTTTCCCCATGAATCCCACCCAAGCTCAGTGACCCATTCGTTTGATTCCTCTCCATTTGTCACCTCGATTTTGAGAGGGAGGGACGGACGGACACGGACGAGAGGCAATTCCAGGCTCAAACATTTCTGACACCAGATACATTGTACCGCTGAACTGTGGCTTGATGCCTTCGGTCCAGCAGTTTTATCATTTGGGCACGACATCCTCTCTAACATCACGCAGTCACAGAGTGCTGCTTCTTGTATGCGACCACTTTCTCTCTGACTTCTTGTCTCTTTTTCTTTGTTTAGTTGAAGAACTGTATTTGCCTTTTTAGACAGATATATTACTTCCTTCCAGACTTTACAGTGCTAATTCATGTTATGCTAAATTAGAGCATAAAAATCTTTGTGCTGTATGACAGCCATGTTTTACAAGTGTAAAGAAGATCCTTGAAATGTTGTTGATGAAAAACATACCAAAATTAAAGTGATTAGTAATCACCAGTGTATGCTGTTCCTTTGTCTACGCATGAGTAAGGTCATTATTAAGCCAAAATAGAAGGCCAGGGTTACCTGTTGTGGTGTTTATTTTTCATTCAACTGCCGTTGAACTTCGGGGATTTTCTTGATAGCATTGATGTTTGATCTGCCTATTTTCACCAAAGTTTATTAAGGGTTTTATTTATTTATCCAGCATCTAATTTAAGGCTTTTATTTATTTGTCCAGTATCTAATTTAGTATTGGTTTATTATATTTTGGATGAAGGGATGATAGTTTAGTCTTTGTATATACATAAAGCGAACGGTAGAGGCGTTGGCGTGTACTACTGCTGGCCCAATGCGTAGCCCATGGGCCCAGCGGCTCATGTTGTAAATTAACTAAAGCGATGGATATGTATACGTGCCTGGCACTATTTAATTTGTAACAAGATTGATTCAGCATTGAAACAACCAAATTAACATAAATATAGGAGTAAATAATAATTAAGTATAATACACTAGTTACAGGATAAGAAAAACAATCCATCGATCTGGCTAGCTATCTAGAAAATCGATGACGATGACGATCACGGATACGTATAATTAATTAGTTGCCTAATCGAAGTGACAGAGGATGCCATCGTTGCCGATGCGGCGCTTGATCTCCTCGTCATCCTCCGGCCTGAGGACGGAGACGTCGTCGTCGCGCCTGCGGCGAACGGCGGCCTCAAGCTCCGCCTCCTCCAGTGTCAACGGCGGCAGATTGAACCTCGCGTAGCTCTCGGCGCTTGTCGCCGCCACCCACGTGGCGAACTCCCTCTCCTCACGCGGCTCCTCCTCCTCCCTCTTCTCCCGCTCGTTCATCTCCTGGAGCAGACGGAAAGCTCAGGCTACCGCCGGAAGCCATTCCGCCGGCTCAGCCCCCGCCACCGCCTCCTCCCGCTTCGCGTTCCGGCTATCCATCATGGATTTTGAGCTTACGGTTGGCTCGATCTTGTTCGTTCTTGCTTTGTCGATATTAATTAGACGATTTACGAGAGTTACAGTGTGCCCTGCCTAATAGGATCTGCTTGTCTCAATCCCCCAACTATTAATAAAAAAACCCCATACTTTTTCTCCAAAACCGCGGTCGGACTTCTATTCGGACTCCTGCGAATTTTTTTCGTTTTTAGATTTTTTTTAATATTTACAGAAATAATCTATCGACTAAAAAAATTGCAGAAATAGCTCCTGCCGCCCTAATGGTGGGCGGCAAGCTGACGTGGCAGACGGTGGGTCGACCGCGCCGTCTGCCGTCGTCGGCCAAAATTGCGATTAGGCCCTTGCCGTCCATACAGAGGGCGGCAAGGGGCTAATTGCAATTTTGGCCGCCCATAAAGAGCTTGCGGCCGTACTTTTTTGGGGCGGCAAGGGACCCAGATGAAAAAAGTACGGCCAAAAGATTTTTTTTATGTTATGTTAATAATAAATAAAGAAGTATTTATTGGTAAAACCTGTTAATATTGTTATAAAAATGTATTGAAGTTGGTTGTTGCGCAATTTCATATGTTAAGTGAGGTATTATTTTGTACCTTATTCGACGTATTAGTACTCGGATAATTTATATAGGCCTATCGCAGTCTGGGTCATAGAAACATTATATGGACTTAAACAAGGAAAATTATGTAACATGAAGAAATAGTAGTACAATTTGAACATGATACAACTATTTGCATTGCGATTACATAGATGATATTAGATTCGAACTAGGAGGGAGGTAGTGCAATAGTTGAACACAACGACAATGTAGTAATGGGACAAGGAAGCATGACAGTAGAAATTTCAATATGCTAAGTTCTCCGATAATAGCTAACCCCTACGTGAGGATCCCTCTCCTCTCTCAAACCGCGCTTTAGTAACCCTGTATTGCTCTGGTAGTTCAAGCTGCACAACACGGCTAGGTGGAGTTAGAACCCTTCTGGTGTCTATCCATTCTCTGTATTGACATCTCCTTGGTGGTTCCTGGGAGGAAAGAATAGATGTAAAGCAAGCAAAGTTAGTAAATGTTGTGAGAAAATAAGGATTCATGTAATCAAAATATTCTTACCATGAAATCGTCGTCAAGAATATTTGGACAAACAAAGAACCTTCGACCCAATATTGTAGGATTTATGGAACAAAGAACTTGACAACGATCACCACACCTGTATCTTGGACGGGCTTCCCATGGAGGGAGTGCCATAGTTAGCACCCGCCAGTCGCTCTGTTGTTCACGACATTGTCGTTCATAAGCCGCTTTTCTCTGTAAGTATTGCTCAGTACTTTCGGATGCGAAATACCAGCGACCTTCTTGTAAACAAGTGGTTAGGTCGAGAACGGGATTTTCTGTATCGACCCACTCGATGTATGCGCAAGCCGTAGTGCGGGTCTGCCGAATAGAGTAGTGTTACGAAGAATAAAGCGATTGCCCATACGGAATGAATAAGCATATGCAGATAATAAAATACCTCACGGTCATAGTTAGGGCACCTAAAAAAGCGCCTTCCTCGAATATCAGGATTCCTCGAAGCCATTAGTTGGCATCGATCACCGCATAGGCAGAGAGGACGCTGGCACCAAGGTGGTAGTAGGTATACACAAGGATCGCTACGCCAGTTTGGATCCTCAACACCCCGGCGTCTAGCCATTGACGAAAGCCGGTCGGATTTGTAATGAAGCAAGTGGGGAAGAGAGTACTGAATGTGACTGAGTTCTGAAAGATTGTGAGGCCTCACTCGTTAAGGCGACTTATATAGGCGCAAAAAATCGAGTGATACCCCTGACGTGTGAACGTGGTGGGGTATGGTGGGTACGCCTGACTGGCGCCGAAAGATATATGCATGATCGGCGCCGAAAGTTACATTGGTCGTATGCGCCAAATGGCGGGCAAATACTCGTATCAGACGCGAATAAAGGAGGCTGCATCGGTGTGGCAGAAAGTAGTTGTGCATGCGCCGAAAGGTATCGTGCACATATAAAAACAACGTTGTCATTACACAAGCATACAGTACTGGAAAGTGAAGCAAGTAAACAAAGAGAAGACTGCTCTACTGGCCCTGCCCCGCGCCGCGACCACGCTTGGTCCTCCGGGCCTGTGCTCGCACGTGGTCCTGGGAGTAGGTGAAACGATCCGGTGGCACAGCACGGGTAGCACGAGTGTCCCGTGGAGGAGTGGCCTGCGCCTGGTCCTGCGTCTGCACCGGCGGTGCGCCTCCCAGCTGTGAGGGGCCGATGACGTCCTCTGTCGAGCCTAAAGTGAAGTCGAAGTCAGTGATGTCGAAGAGCAAGGTGGAAGGCAGCAAGCGGTCCGACGAGGTCCCAGCATGGTCCAGTGATCGACCCTGACTCGACGTGCCGGCTGCCTGTGACGAAGTCCCGGTGTACTGCCAGAACTGCGCTGAGTGCGAGGTCGACACAGCTGCCTGAGACGCTGACCCTGCAGCCTGGGAGAAGTGGGCGGCCTGCGTCATAGCGAACTGGGCGAAACCTACACATCGACAACGGGACCCTTGTAAGCTAAGACATAAAATGTATGTAAATTGATTGTCGAAGTAATGTTGTTTTTTTAAGTACCTGTGGGGGGCACAACAGAAGGCCTAGCCGAGGATGGCGGGGTGCTGAACGGTGCACGAAACCCTGAAGCAATCGGCAAGTGAAACGGCTCACTTATATGTGCGAGGCATGTACAGAAATAATAATAAAAATAGAGGTCTCACAGCACGTAAAATTTGTTCGTAAATATTCGTAAAATTTGACGAAGAGAAAGACATGAAAACATAAAGGAATGGTGCGATGCAGGGTACTCACAGCACGAGCGAAGTCCTGGTCGCGGTGCCTGGCATAGAGGTCTCTAGTGCTCGC